CATCCGCCAACCCGGGTTTGATTTCCAGAAAATTCCATATGGTCCCCTGAGCACCACCAGGAGAAATTCCTGAGTGCAAAGCCGAGAGTAATCCCTAATCGCTGGATGTGATCCAAAAAAAAAAAAATATATATATATATTATGTGGTTTAGATTGAGCTATTACAGATAAACTTGGGCCAGATGTGACTTTTTTTAAAAGAGAATTTCACCACAATTTCAAAAGAGCTATTATCAATTCAGTGATTAGCTCATATGAAGTATCTGTGAAAGCAATTCTGATCTAGAGTTTTTCACATACTCTTTGACAGTAAATGTGTGTTTGTGTGTGTCCATTTTGTATAAAAATTGCCAAGTCAGAGGCAAAGATACAAAAAATTACAGGTTTCTCTTCCTTTTCTTTAAAAACACATAGCCTTTTTAGTACCATGGGAAAATGCCGAATAACCTATAAAATCTACTATCAGAAAAGACCAGTACAATTTTTCACAAGTATTTTCAGTAAAATATTAGAATCTGGTCATGTTTGTATAAATTAATGTTTCTATTCGTGTATTATCTACATATATCAATATACATATGTGGAAAATGTGTTCATATTTAATATATGATTGTATCTCTTAATTGAGGTAAATATGAAAGCCATTATTTCCTTATAGCATAAATGTGCACAAGGCTAACCAGTACAGGATTGACACAACTCACTATGTTTTGAGCAATATTTATCTTGTGATAGTAACTGCTTATTCAAAAAATTGTGCTGGGCATTGTCAATAAGGGATAATGTTATATACTATGATATGAAGAGCAGAAGAACAAAGTATAACCAGCTTTTAGTGTGCTCAAGAGTATTTGTAAGTCTACAGCTGTACCTCATGGTGTTTCACTAATAAAAATTAAAAAAAAGAGTATTACTTTAGAAAACTCACATTTGAGACAGAAGATGATACAAATCATTACATCATTCATTGCACTTTTGAAGTTTAGCCTAGTAATATGGGTCTAGGCTATTATAATTTACTTTACATATTCCATAGAATTATGTGGGAGAATGGAAATAATGATTAATAGATTGTTTCTCTGAAGCATCAAACTTAATCATGTTCAAGGTCATATGAGTGTTCATGATGCATGTATTGGGGTGACAGAGAATGCAGCAGAGGAATTTACCTTGCATGTGGCTAATCCTGAGTCTATCCTTGGCTCCTCATATGGACCTCCAAGCCCCACCAGGAGTGATCCCCAATCATAGAGCACAGTAAGTTGTGGCCCAAAACCTATCACTATCTATCTCTCTCTATATATCTATCTATCTATCTATCTATCTATCTATCTATCTATCTATCTATGTGTGTATTACATGTTTTTTTTCCATTTAGTGTTTCTATAAGAACAACTTCCTATCCTCATACTGAGGTATGAGTACCTTGGTGTTAAAATTATTACACATTTTATTTAATAAATGGATTGGTGGCATATCAGGAAACACAGTTTCCACTCTTCATAACTTCAGTACACTGTTCATTATAATATGCATAAATAAGAATACATTTTAAATATATTTTCTCCATTTATTTAAGATAACTATTTGCAGAGTAGACTTTTCTCTTCATTTTCAAATTGAACTACTAAACTGTAAATAAAAAGCAAGTCACTTGATATTTTTATCCACACGCAACGAAACAATGAGAAATCACTTTATTTCAAATAGAAATTTATTTTTGAAACATTTTATAGTGATTAACAATGCAATTAAAGTTAATTTACTCATTTGTATTCTTCATACAGGGAAACAGTATATATCTGTTAAGGAAAAACAAGTGTTTGGGAAAGCAGTGAATGTGCTGATAATTTTTTAGATTTTAGTGTTCAACTCTTCCCCATATGTGCTTAACTTACCATAAATTTAAAGTAGACTTCTATGAAAAATAGAATCAATCTACAAAGCAAAGCATATTTTTGTCAAGATCCAGGTTAAAAAAATTATAAATGAAATAAGACTGTAGGACAAAAAAGTCATGTTATCATTTGAGAAGAAGAAAAAATCAATACAAAACAGAGATTCTTAATATTGTTCAGAATGGATCTCTCAACCTTATCGCTGTGTTATCTGCAGGCACCTATGGGCATCTGCCCTGAGAATACATTATTAGCACTTTCTGCCTATCTGACAGATAATTAAAGCGGATATTTACAATGTGCAGAAAGTGAAGCAGAAAACATTAAAAAAATAGACTCAAGAAAATCAAAAAAATTAGTCAAATAGATACTTATCTCTGTGATTTGATAGTCATTGATTAAAAATATCCTATATCACCTTGAGTATACTTTTTTGTTTCCCTTTCCTTTAATGCTAATGAATGAACTTCATCCAAAAATCTACATGTTTAGGAATATTTTAGTCATATCACTTGTTCTCATCTTTGTCGGCCAAGATATATACTTTCTTATGCCAAATTGAAAACTAGTTAAGAATAATAAACAACATTTACGTATATATCATGGAAAAATAACATCAATTTCTTTATAAACATTTACACAGAAATAAAAATTTTAAGTATGCTTAAGGTAAAACATACTTGTATATCTCCCCTGAATCTCACAATTTTAATCCTGAGTCAGAGTCTTAAAGATTAGAGAAAGTTCTGTCATAATAGTTATTCAATCAATCCAGATTCAAATATTCAGGAATAGTTTTGCTGTCATGTATATTTTATTTCAAAATATACTGACCAAATCTTTGACATCATTGCAGTATATATTTTTAAACTTTATAGTACCTCCACTAATTTAGGAACCAGTTAATTTCATGATTAGTTTCACTGAAGTGATCAGTTTGACATTGCTAAAATATGTTGTGAATAGCTTAAAATACTTTTAGAATTGTTTTTAATGAACTTTCCAATGCAGTGACATCTCATATATCAGGCACTGGTCTTCTGTCAACTTATATTTCTAGAACAATGATCATATCCCAGTGATGGCAAATAAGGGTCTTTGAATCCATATATATGATTCCTACTTCAGGTTTTAATGTTATTTCTTATAGAGATAAGGTAGGCAGTACTTGGGGGTTGGATGTCACTTCAAACTGTCTTACCCATAGCACTAACTGGGCATAGGGCCACACTCAGAGATGTTTATCTGGCCATGTAGTGACGTGAGCTTACCATTTGAACTACATTTTGACTCTTTCTTAATAGCCATATGTAAAACAAGCAAGCAAACAAAACACAAACTTGCTTACCAGGGGATTAGAAGAGCTGAAATATAAATTTTAGAGACAGGCAATATGACAAAATTAAATTAACAAATTACAACCTGAAATTACTAAGAAGAGAAAAAAGATAAACTGAGCAAGACCCTGGGACATCAAAAACTACTGAACTGTATTTAGTAATCTCTCATTGAGTTAATGAAGATATAGCATATGCTTCACTGAATATAAAACTGAATGTCAAATAGTTTATACAGAAAATGCTCACTTTGATGCAACAAGGTGTAAGTCCAGCAGTTCAAGTTTATAGGTAACCACTTCTCAAAATTTAATATTCATTCTGGAATCTTTTGAAAATGTGTATTCTTATTTAGTAGACCTGAGATTGTGAGTAGAATTCCACATTAATAATAATCTCCCAATTAATGTTGATGCCTTTTCAAGCAAGAACAGAAACAATTTCAAAAATTTCAGATAAATGAGATGTTATTAATTTTAATCTCAAATTAGAAGTTTGAAATAAAAAACACACTGCTCATATGTTGATCATTTTAAATTAGTTATATAATTTACACTTAAAGTATTGGGATAAATGACTGAACATTTAAAACTATTAAACATGAATGGAGTTGAATAATTGCAATACTGTATTCAATCTTAAAACTGTAGAATTGCATTCATGAGAGAATTTTATTGAAATCAAAACTTGGTTGATACTGTGAAAAATTTCTGGTGAGATATATGTTACCAAATATTATGCAATAAAATTATGAATTATTCTATTATTTTATACCTTTCACATCTGGAGAATATGCAAAACATAAGTAAACCTTTGGTAATTTTTTAAAAAAGATAATTTGTGTTGTTTCTATTAATAGTAAAACATTCTAACACTGTACTCCACTCAATTATGAAAATTCAAGTCTATTCTTTGCTAGAATACTCAGGCCTTCATTTCCTGGGTTCTATACTATAACCTATAGCCATAAATAAACTTGAACAAGGAGAAATGGAATACTGCACTTAAAACTACGAATTTCTAACATTTATTGGAATTTAACATTTATACAAATTATTCACCCTGCAAATTTATTTTATATGAGTATATAAAACATTCAAGTCCAGTGATATTAATGTGAGCGTTCTGTGGTTTTATTACATTTTGAACACTGAAAATGTGGTTGGTTGAAGATGCATTATTGCCTAATTGACCCATTCCAATCTCTCTGTAACCTTTTGTTAAGAGAGATCATTATAATGTTCCAAATAGTTATTTTACTCCAAATGGCTAAACTTAATTCCCTGCCCCTATTATGCCTGACACTGGCAGATTATATATGGAGAAAGGGCATCAGGGTAAATTATAGATGATATTTATGCAATAATGTGACTTCATGTGTTTTAGGTCAAAATATACATATATAAAATCTATATTGGGCAATAAAGAAAATATGCTTATGGTTCTAAATGATTTATAGAAGATTCCCACATTTACTTCACTTCGTAATACATTCAGAACATTTAAAAAATCAGGACAATATAGATAGTAACTGTATAAACCCATTACCTATAAAATCTTCTGATATAAATTTTCCCATTTTTTATGAAAAGTAAAATTACATAGGCCAAAAATATTATTTAGAACTAGAAATGAAGAGTAATATGTTCAAAACAAAATATAAATGGTTACTTAGTAAATTATTTGTTTATTAAAATGAAAAAAATAGATTCAACAAAAATATTTAAATGATTAAATGATATGTTACTTAGTGAACTGAGAGTCTATCTGAAAAGTTTTGGGGAAGAACAATTAATGGATACAAATGTGAGTGCAAATCTCTTTTTAAAGCATATTCAAAGTTTTAGCTTGTGAGCATGATATAAATCTCATACATTGTTTTTTCAGTGACAATAAAAAGCCAAGTCTATTAAAAACTGAAGTAAAAATAAAAATCATCTTTTAAAAATCTGATCATAACTTTGTCATTGGTATATGGAGATTATTCCATGGGCCCATCCAAAGCTCTTCCTCATCTGACTGTGTGTGGTCACTGTGAAACTCCAGAGACTCTTTAATGTTCTTATTGTCGATCATAGATTCCTGCTGAACTGTGCTTTTCAGTCTATTCCCCAATGGCTTCTTTGCTGTAAAGTCAGTACCCACCGGAAAAGGGGCAAATGTAACAAGAGTTGATCTAGTATTCATTTTCTCCGTAGCAAATGGCCCCTTTGATAGAGTGTTCAGGGGAACATTCTCCTCCTGTGTGACTGCCAACTTGTCTAGTTTCTTAAAGTGCTTCCCCAGTCGGACAGGGGAAGAAATTTTCAAGTTATCAGTGAGGCAGGAACGACGGGTTCTCACCACAGAACCATTCTGGGCAATGTATATATTGCCATTGATATTGTGAAGGCGGTTCCTTTGACTTTCTGGAGCACTGTCTTCTCCAGCTGAGCTAGTTTTATAGTCTTGATCAGCAACTAACTTGATAATTCTTTTTCTGGCCCACTATCAAAGAAAAGGGAAAAAAAGAAAACAAGAAAAGTGGATTATTATCACATAATTTAGTGAGGATTACAATATCTGTGATATTCAAGATAGAAAGTTATCTAAGACATATATAGAGAGAGGAGGAGGAGGAGGAGGAGGAGGAGGAGGAGAAGAAGAAGAAGAAGAAGAAGAAGAAGAAGAAGAAGAAGAAGAAGAAGAAGAAGAAGAAGAAGAAGAAGAAGAAGAAACCATACTAACATTAGTTTTTTTTTTTTCAACAAACTCTACACTGGGTTTCAAGCTTAATACAGTCTGACTAAAGTATAGCATTAGGAAACAGAAATTTCAGGTAGCACTTGTGTTTGTAGAAAAAAATTTCTGCTCTACAAGAAAAAAATATTTATAAGGATTGGATACATTGGTATCTGTTAAACGTTTTAGGAAAGCTAAATCGAAGGGAATGCAAAACATTAATTTACCTATTTGTACTAACATGTTCATTTATACCGTTTTAAAGAAATTTTAGAGTCACATTATTCTAACTTATACTTAATTCTCCATTATTAGTATACAATTTTATGTAATCAAATGTTTTATTTATTAGCAGTATGCAATTTTGTCATCATTTTAAACATGTATTAACTAAAAAGAATACAACTTTTTAGGTAACACACAAAAGTTAAGATTGTTAAAATCTTTACATTAGTCAGCAAACTAAACATAATGAAAATTTTTCAGAAACTTCTGTTTTCCCAAATCTACATTAGAAATGTCAAGGGCCACAGTCTTTTAAAAAAGATTATGTACTGGTTAGAGAAACAGGTCAAACAATCTAATCATAAGCCACGCATAAGTGAGGCCCCAAATTTATTCCCCAATGTTGTATGTTGTATATTCCCTTGTAGTGATAGGTGGGCACATAGGTGCCATTTGAGCACTAAGGTATTTGAGCATAAGCACTGCTGGGTTAGTTCAGCACACACAGGACTATATTGTATCATATCCCAGTGAAAGCATTGAATCTCTGGACCAATTGATTATTTCTGGAATGGTCCCCAAGTCTTCTGAGCATTGCTGGTAGAAGCCTCCAAAGTAAAGTAAGTAAAGTAAAGGCCCTCGTTGATCGTCGATTTGCTCAAGCGGGCCCAGTAACGTCTCCATTGGAGACTTTGTTGTTACTGCGCCTGGCATATCGAATACTCTCGGTAGCTTGCCGGGCAAAAGATTAAGCAATTTTCAAAACAATACAGCATTTTCAGGTATGTGCTCAGCCAACACCTTGCCTTAAGCATGTCCAACTGTTTGATTTTCAGATACATATGTAAAATATTTTATATGTAATTACCCCCCCAAATCTGTAATTGTTATGATAAAATTATTTTTCATTAATTTAAACTCATATCAACTTTGGAAAAATGATAATTTTCTTAAAATATTTCAACAAACTAATATTTTTAATTGCAATCTACAAACCTATTTGGTTTGGGCATGTTTGTAATATATTTTGATAAGAACTTTGCCAGTTGAAATGTAATATATGCAAATGTGGACTTTTAGAGTTCTCATTTGATGTAGTTATCCAAGGATAACTATCTATTCTATCTTTATATATATCTTTATAACTAACTATTCTATCTTTATAGAATAGATAAAGGTAATATAGAAACCACTACATATATTCGTATAACCCATTCTAATCAGGAAAGGAATCACAAGCAAATAATTTCACACTACATTATCAGATATTTTGCTACAGAACATTAACTATTGAATTAATTTATTATGTATTTTGAATCACATATATGTGAAATATTACCTTGTTTTTCCCAAGGTAAATTTTAATATACCCAAAGTTTCGGGCTGGAGTGCTAGCACCACGGTAGGGTGTTTGCCTTGCGCAGCCCAGCCGGCTGAGGCGGATTCAATTCCTCCACCCCTCTCCGAGAGCCTGGCAAGCTACTGAGAGTATTCAGTATGCCAAACATAGTAGTAACAAGAAGTCTCACAATGGAGACGTTACTGGGCCGCTGGAGCAAATCGATGAACAGCGGGAGGACAGACCCAAAGTTTCAGAGAGCATATATATTCACTTTTCTGGCAGACTTTCTAATCTTAAATTCGATCAAAACCATGATCAATTCCTCCCCTATAAGTGTGTTTCAAAGAACCAGAAAGCACTGCACACAAAAGCACTCAGCACTGCAAAACTCCCACCTACTGTGATGTTTTTTAAAGTGCTGTGTTGTAACCTTCGGAGCTTGCTCCTGGAGGCTTCTTTTGGTTTGCATCCGCGCCTGTGTGGTACTCTGGCACCTGGAAGCCCCACGGGCCTCCAGACAGACTCTCACTAGTGCTGCTGCTACTGCCAGACTCCTCCTCACTTCCCACGTCCCCTTCCACTGAAGCGGATCCTGTACTGCCTTCCTCAGTCACAACCTGAGATGCCAGTTCGGTTGGTTCTTCCACGGGGGTTAATTCCGGCTCCTCTTCCTCAGGCTGTTCCTCCTCTTCTTCCACCTTTGGTTCTTCCTCTGGTTCCTCAGGCAGCTCCTCCTTCCTGCCTTTGGCTTCCTTAATCTCCTCAACAACGGGCCTTCTTCTTGCAAGAAAAATGTTTTTCCTTGCCTTTTCTCCTTCGGACTCTGTGGATTCTGACTCTTCAGACTCTGGGGTCGAACTTTCTTCCTCCTCAGACGGTGTCTCTGACTCAGACTCCTCCTCTGTTGTCTCGGACTCACTGAACTCAGATTCTTCCTCACTGTATTCTGTGTAGTCGCTGGAGGACTCCTCCTCTGATTCGACTGTGCTTTCGGTAGCTTCGTCTTGATCCAGAGTCAGTTTCAAGTAATCCTTATCTTCTTCCTCAAGGCGGCGCCTCCACTCTTCACCCTCGAGGTCTACGACACCCCTTTTATCTGCTAGGCCTCTCACTTTCTTAAAAATCATTGGGAATATTCTGGCTCGCTTCCAAGTTGTGTAAGTAGGCTCAGGTGCTGGTGGTTTTTCGATAGTAACAACTACTTCCTCCTCGCTAGGTTCTCTAACTTCAACTTTTGGCTTTTTAATTTTCTTTGCCTCTTCCTGAAAATTATGAAAATGCAATTGAAGTGTCAGTTTGGTCATGATTATCATGTACTCCTGTTACGCGTTTGTAAAACAGGTGTGACTGTGCAAGCTGAAAGTGCCATGTAAGTTTTATAACTGTTTCAGCATCACAGAAAGAAGTAGATCATCAAGAAAAACAAGTTATTTTAACTTGAATTTTACTTTATAATGCAAAAATTGGATAGCTTTGATTTTCTCCTATTCAAATTTTATTTTAAAGTTTAGATCAAAAGAGAAAGAAATAATCATTACTTCTTCAATTTCCCAGAATTATGCTGGTTAGTAGTTTCAAGTATTTATTTACGTTAACAAAATGTTAATAGGGAAATTATTATAGTTTATATAAATACCTTATGTGTACTATTTTTTCCTGATAAGCAGAATATATCTACAACATAGTTTATTTTCTAGTTTTTGGATAAAAGCTTCGAGTAAATATTGCCAGTTCTATTTATTATATTATTTTATAAATGTCTCATATAATTTATAAATAAATATAATAATTTCATGAAATATTAGTAAAATTTTATGTTATTAGGCCATTTGATAAGGACTATACCTTTTCATTATTTTTGGAATGCTAAACAATGCCAGAACAAGGTAAAGTTTAGAAAATTAATTTTTACATATCTGATTGTTATGTTTTTTCTTACGGAGTAATAGGATTTTAGAAACATAACTTTATTGTTACTTTAGTTAAGATTTTATAGCACTTGATAAAACAAAATAAATTAATTTAATGACAAAATTAAATTTAAAAACTGTTCTTGTATTGACAATGAAAAATATATGCAGAATTATTAAAATTTTCTGAAAAACATTTACTATTTAAATACATAGTCATTGAAAATATTTTAGGTTGTCTTCACATAAAACTGAAATATTGGTTTGAGCATATTAATTTTATGAGAAAATGCAAGTACCTCTTCCTCCTCGTATTCTTCTTCAGCTTCACCAACTACCTCACCATACTCCTCTTGTCCAACAGGTGGTAACAAACGACGGCGACTTCCATATTGAGGCATTTCATACCTATAATAAAAACTCACAACTTTAAATATATTTACATGTTGTCTTGCGGAATCTATCATGGTTCATCAGTTCTCTTTTTTCTTCATTGTTCAATCCACATATATTTCACAGTATCAACTTCTTGTACTCTAATTCTAAAGCCATAGGATAAGAAATACAACCTGATGACCAATAATTTTTGGCATAACGCTACCCTGTAACAACAATAAAAATAGTTAAGTTTACTTTACACATAAGTTTTTGGAGAGACCACTGTGATGGAAAAGACACACTTCTTTAGGTACACAATTTAGGTACAGGATAGATCCATTCTAAAAACACATCTCATTAAAAAATCAAAGTCTCTAGCTTCCCACCAACAATATGTCTTAAAGATGATTTGTTATAGAATTTACATTCCTTTACCATATTATTAAAAACTCAGTAAATTACATGTGTAAAAGTGACTTTGACGTACTAATTTCTCTATTTTAGTCATGTTTTCTTCTTAATTCTCCTAAGAAAAATCTTGAGACTAACTGGTTAGATTAAATGTTAAACACCTGATTTGAGATAAATGATGAATTCAGGAATTGAGCAAATATGATTGATTTCTATTTTCCAATTGTGTATTTTTAATAATTGCTGATTTTTATAGTAGTGGTGAATAACAATATAGAACATCATGATAGAATTCAATATACAAAAATGGGTACAATTTTTTGAAACAAAATCTAAACATATTGCTCATTTAAAAATGAAACATGAAAATTAGAAAATAAATGATTGAATTAATGATATGAAAATAAATCCTTATTACATATGAAGTATTAATATGCTGTATAAGAAATCTGAAGATGTACCCATGCTCATAACTGTAATAATCTTGTCCATATTCCTGGCCAGGATCAATTCCAGACTCCATGGATAACTCCTATTGTTCAAAAAGAGAAATTGCATTTGGAAACAATTTTCATTATTTTCATCTGAGTCAGATTTCCAGACGTAGAATTTAATGACACGCAAGGCACTTCGGGCTAAATAAATTACATATTTTAGTTGATTCATTTAAGATTTTTTTATTTTAACTATTTTATAAAAAAATGTAATTTGTTGTTAGACTTGAGGAGTTGATACACAGTTTTCTAAAATCAAATATGTCAATTATTTCAAATAATTATATAATTCCTTCTTGAATAACTTCTAAAACTACCAGTGGACATAATGTTTCATTCTATTTTAACTTATACTAAAAGGAATTTTGCCTTGAGGAAAATAAAATTACCTTGTTGCCTATAACATTGCTTCATTTTCTTGATAAATTTTGTAGCACTCAGAGGACTTAAAATCCATCATATGTTTATGAAGGTAGTAGTTGATAAAAATGTATCAGTTATTAAAATTACATGTATATGATAATCTTCAATTATTTTAATTGATTTTAAGTGTTTAGATTTTAATATGTTAATAATTCTAATTATTGTCTTTCTAAGAGTAATTTGTGAGAGCTTGAGCTTTCAAGCTTTCTATAAATAGTGTCAGTATCATGCTGTTTTATGGAAAGGTGTTCTTTCTGAGACATAGATGAGAAACTAGTTTTTCATAAACTTTAGAGACTAATTTATTACATTTCTCATTTAGATTCTATTTAACTTTTAAGTAAGTTGAACTGCAAAAGTTAACCTAATTAGCCTAAATTTCATTTGTAATAAAGGAAAGAATATAAGGAAAAATTATAGGTATAGATTTATTATTTACAACAATAATATCCATCTATTACTTACAATAATAATTTTGGTGATGTGGGGTAATAATGATTCAGAACATAAAGACCTCTGTGGGCATAAATATAAAAATGAAAAACTGTAGAAATTCATAAACTTCCTAACAATCCACTTCAGTTGTGCTTTCTTTTTTATAATATACCTTATTATAAAAGAAGCTGTTGCCAGAATTTTAATCAGTAAACCCTTTAGGAAATCTGGACTTTTATTTGTCTTGAAAAATAAGAATATGAAGAAAATCACAATTATCTGGATATATCTGTACTTTAGTTTTGGTTTTGCTTCTAAAAGCAGTCATAGTCTCTCCTGGTTAGTACTCTATCCTGAACCATACTGTCTTCTAAACCAAAGCCTCAATAGGATGTCTCACATGCTCTAATAGTATATTAAGGAAGTTCTCTCTTACATAACTTTTCCCAGTGTCTACTTAAGTTTGTAATCCCTCTATTAATGCAATAAGTATGCATATTATAAGTACTTTATGAGTTAATTGCAAATGAATCCAGTTTTGAGGTAAAATTGCTTCCGTCTGCTCATAAGAATAGTTAAAACTAAAGATCAGAAATACTATGGGTTTTGGTAGAAACATGAAACTCTGGGAGCCACATTTATGTAAAATTATAAATTCACATACATGCATAGTCTCTTTCACAAAAATTCAATGTTGCTGAATATACATAACTATGAATGATTCTATAATGAAATGCATGATTTTAATAGCAAAAAATCTAGTATCAGTGCAAAACCCATGAGATAAACACTGAGTTCACAAAAGGACAATCTCAAAACAAAAAGATGAGCAAGGGAAGCAAAGTTGAGATAATAGTATCTTATATTATTCTATTTATAAAAACTTAGTAAACAAGAAAATTGTCTTTTTGGAAGGTAGAAAAAAACTATTTAGTTAACTATAACTGTGCTTCAAGTTAATCTTCTTGGCTAGTATGTGATCTCTCCACAATGAATGACTTATTTAGAAAGAAAAATTCTTCCCATATTGATATATGGATAAACCCAGAAGGACAATTTCTTATAAGTGAGCAAGATGGACTGAGAAAGATAAATACTTCATGAAATCTCTTTCTGTGGACTATGGGTGGGGTGACGATTAACAATTAAATTCAGCAAAACAATAGAAAGGGTGCTTTCAATGGCTTGGGGAGGTAGAAATAGGTAGAAGATACTGAAGCTTATGCTTAAAAAGCATTCATTAAGTTTATGGATCTAATACAAAATATAGAACTCTTGTTGATAATACTACACAATATAAATTAATTTTGATAAAAATGTTAATCTTAAATGCTATCATATACTCCTCACCAAAGATACATATGTGAGACATTGAATGTGCTAATGACTGCATTATAAGAATAATTCACTATATGTATATGCGTGTACTCATAATGCACACTTTATATATATTATAGTTTGTCGATTATAACAATAACAATTTATATGTGCATCAAAATATCACTAAAGTGAAACAAAACAAAAAATCAGATTATTGTATGGAAATGTAGATAATATCTGATTTAGTATGATCAAACTTTAAGGTAATCAATACTGTTGTATAATCTGCAAAAATTCATTAAATCATACAGTATAACTTACATTCTTCTTTATCTGATTTAATTTATCCTTTTTCCCCATTTTATAGAGGGAGATAGAAAGTTAGGTCAACCTGAGCGAGAAACAGGGTGGTGATTTCCTTGCTATATGTTTATTTCAATTTTAAACTGTCTTTCTCTCTCTTATAAAATTATGCCATGTGGAAGCCACTGACTCTGAATACATGTAAAATGGACCTGACAGCCACATAAAATATTATAAAGGCTCATTGAGACTAAATAGAAAAGAAATTTATACCTCAGGCTTAAGGAGAGAAGGCCTCAGAAGTTGTTGTTGCTGCCAACGGAAATTAAAATAGAAAAAGATTTAGAAAATAATCCAGACTTTAAAAGAAGGTTATAATTAAGAAGATAGGGAGGGAAAAGTGACAGCTAACGACTGGTTACACTGAGACTGTGTTTCTTTAGGATATGATAAATATCAAAATAAATATTTTTCCTAGTTATTTGGCTAGAGTGATAGCACAGTGGGTAGGATATTTGCCTTGCATGTGGCCGACCCAGGTTTGATTCTCCTGTCCCTTTCAGAGTGCCTGGCAAGCTCTGAGAGTATCCCGCCCGCACAGCAGAGCCTGGCAAGCTCCCCGTGGCGTATTCGATATGCCAAAAACAGTAACAAGAAGTCTCACAATAAAGACGTTATTGGTGCCCATTCGAGCAAATCAATGAACAATGGGAGGACAGTTCTACAGTTCAGTGCAATTATTTTAAATAATTTTAATGATGTTGATGTTGCTATTAACATCAAATTTAATTGCCTTAATACAAAATTTTTTGATGGGTCATATAACAAAGAGTAATTTATGATTCTAAAAGCACTATGTTACTCTTTTGCTTTTATAAGTTAAAACTTTTTTTAGTTGCCCCCTCTTTTTTTCGTCTCAATCACATTAAATGTGATCAGGTTAATTAAAAAGAAAAGTAGAGCATACAAAACAATGCTAGTGTTTTAATTTATTTATTATATTATAATGATTAAAATAGCACAGCAGTAGGGCGTAATGATTAAAACATTCTCCCCATATAATTTTTAAATTTCAAAATATCTACCAATATATAAATGTTTTGTCTCTAATCATTGATTATGTTTTTAGAAGATCTTTGATTAGGACATTGTTTTCTTCATCTGATATGGCCAGGATAATTTACAACTTATTCCTTATGGTTCATTGTTAATGATATAAAGGGAATAGAATGTTGACTGATCTTTTTTTTTATGTTTTTACCACAGCAAGTTATACAATTAAAATTTGGAATTAACTTTCTGCAGAGAAATTATTATGCTAAACAAATTTTAATATAAGGTCAAGGTGGTCAGAGAAGCTTAAGTGATAATTCACCAATAAACCAAGTATATGAAATACCAATAGAGTATCTGACTGGAGTGGTAGACTTAGTTATTAGTATAGCACAACTGCTCATTTAAACAATCAGGCAATTAAATCATGAAATATTATTATCTGATCTTTTATCTAGTATAGTTATCCCTGATGCGAGTAATTATTAAAATCTTTCATGTTTTTTTTCCAAATAATTCAGGCATTCCACATTCTAATTGATCATCCAGTTGGTTTGTATGCTCATTTCAATCTTTTGACTATGAAGCTATATTCTAGACCATATTTGATTCTCAGGATTGTTTGGTCAAAATTCCCAAGATAGAGTGACAATCAAATTAACACATTAGAAAATCCAGAGCTTTCAAAAGTCTTGGTATTTTTAATTCCTCAATATTTTCTATCCCAATATAATAGGAAGAAGCTTTATATTGGTATTAAGAAAAAAATGGACTATCCCTACATTTTCTAAATTAGTTCTATAATCTTAGAAAATTTAATTGGAGGGGATATCACTATGTTTATCATTAGTGATTGAGAGAAAAATATCACTGAGATGTGAGCACTTGATCTTTGTTATTCCAGTGAATAATCTTAAAACTTCAAAATACATATTTGATAAATAGAAAAAAATTAGCATAGTGTTATAATATTATTAAATAGGAGCGATAGCACAGCGGTAGGGCATTTGCCTTGCACGCAGCCAACATGGCCGACCTGAGTTCAATTCCTCCGCCCCTCTCGGAGAGCCCGGCAAGCTACTGAGAGTATCTCGCCCGCACAGCAGAGCCTGGCAAGCTCCCCGTGACGTATTCGATATGCCAGACACAGTAACAACAAAGTCTCCAATGGAGACGTTACTGGGCCCGCTCGAGCAAATCGATGATCAACGGGAGGGCCTTTACTTTACTTTTACTAGTGTAAAATTATATAATTCTTGAGAAATTATATATTTGTTGTGTTTATAACAAAATATTTTTCTAGAATGTTTGATATAAATACCATGATGCCCTTACCTCTGATGTAAAACCTCTCCTGAAAGGCAGAAATAAAGAAATCTATATTAAACACTTCAGATAAAATAAAATTAAAGATAAGAATGCTTTTAAATATTTGAGAAAAACTGAAAAGGCATTTTTAAGTAATTTTGCTTAGTTTCGCGTTATTATAAAGAAGTCAAATTTTTATGTCTGTATTATTAAGACATTTACCACTTCACACCCTTCATCTAAATGAGTGAGCAACATCACATACAAATATATTATTGTCAATGCTGTATCACAACGCACTTTTATTCTATTCAGATCAATTGTGATAAAATGTTCTAGATCATCAATTCTAGAAAAAGTTTTGATATACATATAGCATTTTTATGTGGGGAAATATTTTATTCACGAAAAATATATCTCCATAAATAGAGTATTCTCCAAATTGCTTGAAAGGTTTTACTTGCCTAAGTCAATTTATTCTAAAAATAATGATAGAAAAATAGAGACTAGAATTAAGAGTCAGTTATTAAACATGAAGTAATTTTTGAGATATAACTATGAAATATTTAATAATAAAGATTTATAAATTTTATAAAACATAAGTTAGTGAAATATTTACTCTAAGAAAGAACTGAAGAGTAATTTTGAAGTTGAATTTCAGTAAGTTGAAGATTATTTAATACTCAATAAACCATATATCTTAAATATTTAACGAGTGTTGTTGATCATGCTAGATGGAATTAGTAAGAAAATATAATTAAGACAAATGGAATGACTGATAGCAATGACAATATTATTCTTACTAAATACTTTCAGAATTTATTATCCGAATTTATTTCATAGTGAATTTTACAGGGTACATGTACAGTGCTGCCAACAGATACAGCAATAAAAATCACCTAGTACATTTAGAATTAAAATACACTAAGTACTGTTTAAGTAATTTTGAACTTTCACTAAATTTGTTGTTTTTCGGGTATAAAGAATATAAATCTCAAATCTAGGTTTTAAAAATAATGATCATTAGATACCTAGTTAAAAAATGTTCAGCCAAATTGATTTTATATTATAAATATATGTCATTTTTATTACTGATATTTCTCATAATTGTAGTATGTATTAATGCATAAGCCATATTATTTTATTATATTGTATATCAACCTATTGTATATATTAATATAATATGGTAATAAAGTACATGACTATTGTGTCTTCATTTTTATTATTTCACTTAACATGTAGGTAAAAGATCATTTATAAGAAGTAAAACACTGATTGATATGTTTAATATGTTTTCATTTAATATAACTTTTCATAGATCCCATAAAACCATTCATATTACTGTATACTTTCTGTGGTTTATTTCTGATATAAATTATTTATTTTGCATTATCTGTATGTATGATGGTTCACTTATTTTTACAGTAAGGAAAATATGTTAGCCTATTTATACTATTGAACAATGCATCTCATAATGTTTATGCATTAATTTAACTATATAATAAACGTAAAAAATTATGTTTTATAGAGACTGTCAAATTTGTGAGGAGACAGAAATTTAGAATATATTTTGGCTTTTATATTCAAAGAATAAAGATCTCACTTAAAAATGTTCTAACTGACTTTCACAATGCAGCTTAAAATCTCATAGTGTGTTATTAAACTACTAGGTATATTTTTATAAAAGGTACAGATACATAATAATTATATTAAACCATTATGGAAGATAAGGTATTTTGATGATGGGAAGTCTTTGAAATTTTTGGTAGCAGTAATTACATACATAAAGAGGTATGAAGCTAAGTCCTTGGAATTTCATAATATTGCAAGCCAATTATTCACCAATAAAAACTTAAAATTAAAATAAAACAACTTAATTATCTGTATTCAGAGTTTCTGCACCAATGAATCCAAGGAATCAACTCAATCAACTGTAAGAAAAAAATACACACCATTTCCTGAATTTTATTGTACTTGTGTCTGTGTATTTCCCTTGTTTTTATTTCCTAAATTCCAAAATGTAACATCTATTCACATAACTTTTTACATTGCATTATCTATAGCTTGTAGTATAGAGATAAATTTAATGTATAAGGGGGATTGTGCACAGATTATAAGCATTATACATAGAAGGTTGATTATCTGCACACTTTGTTGCTTGCTGAAGGCTAAAAATCAATACACCACTTATACCACTTATACCAAGGAACAACAATATTATAAAAATACTACACAAAATTACAGGTTAATTATTTAGTGAGACTAAAGGTTCCTATATAAAACTGTTACTTACAATTCTCATTTCTTTGACTATTATTTAAAAATTTTATTAATAAGAAAGTCTAAGGAACTACCAAGAAATTTCTTTCCATTTTCAATAAATTGATAGAAATAGCTTAAAAACATACATTCACATTAAAAGTTTACACAGATTGTGAATAATACCTTGTCAGAGTCCGCCAAATAGCACAAGTTCTCATGCATATGACCAGCTGCCAACAAAAACTCCAACTGAAGTTTTTCAGTGAAAGAGAGAAAAAAATCAAGTTCAAGAACCCCAAGAAAGAAATGACTTGTTTTGGATGAAAAGAATCAGAAGCTGAGTTGCTAATAAAAATATTAAGACATATCCTTTTTAAAAAACTTTAAATTGTTAAGTATGCCAAACCTAACTCTGAAAAAAAATTTTAATATAAGACCTGAACAAACTTTGAAATGATGCATTGCAGTTATCTGCATGCTTATTAACATACTTGTAATGATTATTATCAAACAAGACTTATCAACATTTTGGAATTATTTTTCTCTCTGTGCCAACAGGGAAAATTACAGAGTAAACCAAATAATTATAATTGTGCTTGAAGTGAATATTTTCAGTAAATAAAACTTATTTTATATGTTAGGTGTGGAAAAGTAAATACTTGAAGACAGACAGTATATAGTTTAGCTGATGTTCTTAATTTTTTTAAGAATTTATAAGAACAAAATTTAAAAATTTTAAGAATCAAAACTGCACGAACAATTACAACAAATATTTCCTTCTATTAAATAAATGTTTCTCTTTGTTTCCAATAAGGTATAAGTCTATATAATGCATAATAATTCATAAATCATACTGCTTCTTGATTTCTACTTAATTATTTTATATTTTATTTGGATACTGCATGTTAAATTTAAATGTTAAGTTAAATTTTTTAATATAGTAACTGAAAGTAATTAGAAATGTACATGCTGAATTTGTCTTCAATTTTAATGAAGAATTGTTAATATTGTTCATGTACTAAATTTATAAATGTGCTCATTATTGAAATTTTAATTTTATTTTGATAAAAATGATTACTGTTTTTATAAAACTGGAGATACATATTTTGAAAGAGTATCTTATGAAGAAATTATAGTTAAGTAGGTGATATAATAATGCAGGAAAACCAAACCAAATTGCGCTTTAAACATTTGTGGGATAAATGAAATGCCTTACAAAAGTTAACAACTCATAATTTATTTCAGTAATAAAGAAGGGAAAGGAATGCACAATGAAAAATAAAAGTAAGACATCAGCTGGAAAAAAGTAAAATGTATATCAAATGTATAAGCATACTAGTAAGACAAAAGCAAGCCAGAGTAAAAAAAATTTCTTATAAGAAAACAGATGACTAAATCTTACAACTCTGAAATTTATTCTGGAATACCTTTATGTCTGCCATCTCCTACCATTTTTAGACACAAAACATTTTACTTGCTAGTATCTCTTTTAGTTAAATACATAAGGTCAAGAAAATAACATAAATTATTTTTAGCATATTTTTAACAATCTATATTTTCCTGTAGTACTCATATAAAACTATAATGTAATATCAAATATAAAGTTAATGCATTAACATAATCAACAAGCCAATGTTTTGTTGAATATTTAATTTTAATGCCCATATTTTCCCATTGAAAGACAATCTGAAATTACTTACTTTTTAAATAAATGTAGGCAAATTATGCTACTTCGTAGTTAAGAAAAGTAAGATACATCTATACTATGAGTTAGTAATGATGAGGTTAATCTTTTAAATTAAAAATAAGGAAAAGACAGCATTGCATTGAGTTTAGATTAAAAGAATAGAATCTTCTTCAATGTTCAGATTTTCCTCCACTTGAAGATTATGAGCAACAAATGAGTTCTTAATTAAAATAGAAGAGGCAAAATTACAGTGAAGTAGATTGACTGTGAGACTGATTTTCATTTTCTTCCACAATTTCTTGCAAATTTTCCCGTTTTTGTTCAGATCTCATTTCCATATTTGTTAACTCTGAAGGGCAACTAGTTCGATGTTTTGAAATCTGTTTGGGTGGAAAATTTTTTTCTATTTGACTATACATATTAGCTACCGACTTTTCAAGTTCTGAGAGGTTTTTAATGTGTTTGAGGATGCCTTTTGGTTCTTTTTGATGTTCTGTGTTGCATGTGGACGTTGAGGTTGACAGCTGCATCACAGAAGACTCCATTTCCTTGCTAGGTGTTACACTGGCAGTGTGTTTAACATACTTTGTGGATGGAAAAGATGCTGAAGGAACCAGTGGAGAAGGAAGAGGAGGAGGGGGTGGAAGGAGAGTGGGAAATGGAGGAGGGGAAGTAGTGGAGGGAGGAGGAACAGAAAGTGGATGAAAAGGAGGAGGAGGCAGAGGAGGAGGAATGGAAGGTGGTGATGGAGAAGGACAAGAAGGAGTCAAAGAAGAAAGAGGCAGTGGTGGAGGAGGAGGTGGCGGAGGAGAGCAAGGAGGAGAGGGAGGAGAGGAATAGATGCTTGGGGTATGGGGGATATTTTCAAAAATGTTCCTTTCATTTTCAAGAGTCAAAATATGAGTGGGTGCCTCTTTCCTGAAGAGTGGAGAATTTAAAATGTGAGGCATTGTAGGAGAAAGTCCCAAGGAACAGTCAGAAGGAGAAATAACGACCTTAGATTGTGATTTGAGGTCCACAGTTCTTGAAATAGTAGGCAGAGTAGAAAATGAAGAATGAGACCAAGAAGAGGAAAATGTAGAGGCTGAAGAGAGAGACTTCAGCTGTTCTGGTCCTGGCATAATCATCGATTCATTTTGACTATCTTCCTCTTGCTCTGTTAAATCTATCTCTTCAGCTGTAAACAAGGGATTGCAGCTACCTCCTTTGTTGGGGTAGGTTCCCATACTTTCACGTTCTATATTTTGCTTATTGCTTGGCCATTGTTCCAGATCTATGGTATCTGATCTGCTTGGAAACTCCCACCTGGATCCCCCAGGGAAACAGAATGAATGGTTCCACATCTTCTGTATCTTTTCCCTTGGGCCCCTTAGAGAATCATTCTTTACTTGTGTTTTGGATACAAAGGAGTCTACCAAATCAGTTCTTGGTGAAAACTCCAAAGCCACTTGCCTTACATCTGTGTTTTCCCGATAAAGTTTATTTTGGCTACTGAGAGTATCCTCATCAGGGAGCAGTGTGAAGTTTCTTGCAGACTTGGACTGATTGTTCTTAAGTGCTCCATCTATGTGGGCCTGATTGTGAGCCTCCATAGTATTAGGAGAAAAGGACATCATACTGTGCTGATGTTTCCTGTCTTCTGAGACTGACTTATTTCCCCTGCTTTGTTGGAAATGGTAGAGAAGGAAAAGACTTGAAAGAAAAGAAGATAATGAAATGTAAGGAAACAGGTCGTGATACAACTTTCATGAGAAAGATGTTTTTTGGGTTCTCATTACTACATCAAATTACAAAGAGCCAAATAACACTAAAATACTTATATAAGACATTAATTTCATGTCCCTGTTGTCAAAAAGACAGGATAAAAATGAGAAGTATGAGTAATTTAAGTCTCATTTTTAAAATGTGCACATATGGACTCCCATTTTCTTCAGATTTTTTTAATACAGAAAAGATATTTTTTCACTACACATGTCAATACTCTCATTTATAAATCTCATTTCTCCTGTTGTAAATAGTACTTTGACTAATGGTTTGATATCCTTTACCTCAGCTGGATATGCTCCAAGTTGCCTGTTTGGAATATCTTAGTTGTATTCCATTAAGCAAATCTACCCTGTCTCTCATCTAAGCATATATTTTTCCCTGAAAGTTAAATACTCACCAGACTAGGATTACTATTGCTATAATTTTTTTAATTATTTGAATAAGAGAATTAAATTTTCTGCACAGAGGTTAAGAATTCTATGAATTTGGAATCACAAATTAAATTTATAATACAAGATGAGGTTATATTATAATTTTGAATGATACTATTTCTTCTATTTCAAGTCTATGCTTAATTAAAAATTATAAATTCTACAAATAAGAAATGGGATTATTGGTATTTGAATATGGAATGATCAAGTTTTAGTAAGCATCTAAGAAAGTAGTTACAACATCATAGAATTGAAATCACTGTCATACATTGGATTTTGTCAGACATAGAAAGGTCATAATGACTGTAGCTAACAAACAAGCTGAGAAGGTTAAAAAGAAAAAAACCCAAATGAATAACTCTTATGAACACATTGACTCTTCACCTACAAAGACTGTTACTTATGATATTAGAAGTCTTTCTTTAGAATGAATGCTAAGCTTGGAATACTTAATTAATCACTTCTTAAAAGCTCATTAAAATCAGAAATAAAATAAAAAGTATATTTTAAATAAAAGTTTAATAGACACATCAAAAATAGAATAGTTGATGAAGGAATGAAACCATGTGTTAAGTCAAAATTGTTATTATGTCAATTTGGCAAAGATATAAAAAGCAAGAGAGAATTCTTATGGGTGGGCTTGTGATATCAGACCCATCAGAATTATTCAGAAAAAACAAATAATTTGTATTAAAGAGACAGCAAACATTTTTCCTGATCCCAAAAGTTCATTTAGAAAAGAACTCACTTTGACATATGGTAAGTGCTTGTTTGTTGATCAGTGTTGTCACAATTTTTTTGTAAAGAACTAATAATATAATATCATTTAATTTGAACTGAAATGCATCTATTAACTTTTATCATGAATTTAAAACAAGGTGAAAATTAAGTTCCTGTTTTTAGATACAGGTATTATTCCTGAAAGTGCTTGGTTGAATTAAGCTCATGCCACTTCAATATATCCAAAGGGGATGAAGTTTATAAGATGTAACTTTTTTATCTTTCTAAAAGATAAATTGTTTGGTAGTAAAATATTACAATTAATTAATGTATCTAGAATACAACAGCATTTGAAACTATTTTATGCATTTTTAAATGCCCTAGTATTAAAATGATATTTACTTACTCTTGCCTATGTGTCCACAGGTGAGAAAGAGAAAACATGTGACAGAAAAGAAAAGTTGTAACTATAGTTAATTTGAGATGACTCTTAAAATATACAACAGGAACTTGCTTTAAACAGTATATATAAATCCATAACAGAAAAGGCATTTCAATATATTGTTTTTTGTATTTATTCTTAAAATGGTATTGTACTCATGTTTGAGATAAAATCATATAGAATTAATTTGATTGTCTTATCATGCATAATTATAGCCTTCATTAATATATAGGCTTAGCTGAATCTCTATTAAACAACTGATGACTTCAATCCTAAAACTGAATTTTAAAAGGAGAATCTAAGAATTGCCTTTATGTTAGAACTGAAAATAATAGCAGCAATAATGTCTGAAGACGGTATGTACGTTATTTGTGAGAAAGTAAACAGAGAAGTTCTAAAAATATTATTTCAGGATACTGAATCGATGAGTTGGTAGATTGTCAAATGACCATTTTTCTACAAAAAGCTTATATTGACATGCAATACTTTTTCTAATCATTTATGACTAGAATTCCCAAAAAAAGTATTTAATATTAAAGCAAAACATGTGTTAAATAAAAGATAAAAATGTGTACAACATAAACCAACAAGTCACTGTCACTGTCACTGTCCTCCCATTGTTCATCGATTTGCTCGAGCGGGCCCAGTAACATTGTGAGACTTGTTACTGTGTTTGGCATATCGAATACATCACAGGTAGCTTGCCAGGCTTTGCTGTGCGGTCAGATACTCTCGGTAGCTTGCCGGGCTCTCCAAGAGGGGTGGAGGAATCGAACTCAGGTCGGCCATGTCTGCCGCATGCAAGGCAAATGCCCTACCTGCTGTGCTATCGCTCCAGCCCAAACCAACAAGCAAATAATATAATTACAAAAATTTACTGAATATATTATAATTTTAAAATAAAGTATTGCTATTTGAAAATAATCACAACGAACTATATTGATTCTAGATGATGCTGTATTTTACCTACTTAATAAAAATGTAAAATTGTATATATAGTTTTTAATTCAATATATAGAATTTTAATTTTATATAGAATAATTTTGTAGTTTTAAAATATTTTGGATAAAGAGAGGTGGTTAACATCCACAGAATCAAATCATATGGCTCAATTCCTATATTCACCAAAAATTTAAGAATGGAACAGTCATTGCAACTTATAAAAAAGAAAGAATATATATATTTAACGCATGAATCATATATTATTTTAGGAATAGTGTCAACCATACAATTTTAAGGTCATTTAAAAAATTCAATTATAACATTAAAATATTTTCAACATAGCATAATTTTTAGCATGGAAAATAATATTGATATATATATATTTTAAAACCAGGATTTTCCACTAAAGGATAATTCTGATGTTTGTGAGGCTTGCTTTATTCCTACTAGTAAGTGCTGCAGTAGAACAGTAGAACAGCATAGTTTAATCCCACAGTTTCATCTAATTACAGTAAATAAAATCTGTCCTTTTTGAAATTTAGTCATTTTTCAGAATTTAATTATATTATTCATTATTTTATATTTTATGTCCAGAAATATGCAAGTCACTCTTGGATTTTTAAAACTTAGACATAACAAATATCTTCAAAAGCAATCATGTATAAGGGTAGCCTAATTTTGAAAGTAACTATGGAGATATTTATCAATGTAATTTAGAAGTCTCTAAAAAAAGTCTGATATTCTAAGTACTAAAGGGAAATATTAAATATCACTGCATTCTCTTTGAAGAGATATGAAAGGAATCTCTCTAAGAGTCTGGCTATTTGACAATTTTAAAGAAATTCACATAGACCTTATTCTATTTTATGACATCCTATAGTAATATGTTTAAAAGACTAGATGTTAGAATAGTGTTTTGGTCACCAAGTAGGAGTCAGTCTTTGATAACAATTCTAAAATCAATATTGCATAGCCGATCTCATTCTGCTCACTCCAAACAAAAATATAAATTTCAGCATATACTATTAATTTTAAAAGGACACCACCTGCATGACTTTCCTTTTAAATATGTTTTTAAAAGTCAACGTTGGTAATACACCGCATTCCCATACCAGGTGGACGTTGACTACTTACCACACAGCATCCTTTAAAGCCCGGCTACTTTTCAAACGCTGGAAAGATGTACTTACATCGTGCTGTCCCCAAGTTCTTCATAGAGATGGGCACCCGGGGGCGGTGGGGGTGGCGGGGGCGCAGCCACGGGTGCAGGAGCTGGCGCTGCCGGTTTAGCTGCAGGTAACGCAGATTGGATTCGTGCTGTCTTGGTGCACTCAGCTTGGCGTCTTTGGTAAAGTAAGGACGTTTTGTAAAACTCATTTTCGAAGCTACACGCTTATCAATAACCTACCTTTTCATACTAATGAGACAGAGAAAACGATATGAACATAGCTTCACAAGTATTACAGTTTGAAAACTGTTATAGGGTATCACTTCTGTATCCCTGGGATACAAAATTGGGAGTTTCTATCTGGACACAGGACAACGGGCTCCATTTCTGTTTGCAATAACCAATCCACAGCCCTGAACATTTCTTATACTGAATTAGGGACGTTCTCCAGGCAGTTATAAACCAGCACGTTTGGGCAAACGAGTAAAAAACTAAGTCCAACACCTGGATGCTGATAGCAGAATTGTGGTAAATAGAAGGACTGGGGCGGGGAAGGGGCTGGGAGGACTAGAACAGGTGAAAAATTCAGATAAGTTGTTATCGGATGGTGACTAGATACTTGTTCGTGGGTATGGTGATACAGATAATTGGTGAGGTGAGAAACGAGAGAACCTGAAATCGGTAGTGTTGGACGAGAGAGAGCTAGAGCGAGAGCAAGCGAGTGAGAGAGAATTAAAAGATTAAAAGGGATGAGTAGACTAGTGGGTCTGTAATTTTGCGCTTGACCTCAAGCACCAGCAAGGGCTATTACACCTTGACATTTCTGGTGCGCATGGAGTGTTCGTTGGGGCCTTGGTGTAGACACCATGATCCATGCAATAGTTTCCTTTCCTTACTCCCCAGCAGGCACAGCTGAGGCTTGGAGGCACCTTGGAACCTTGTAGAGGAAAGGAAGAAGGCTTCCTGTCTGAGATCCTGAGAGCAGAAGAGGTTGTCTTAGAAGTTTTTCTAGACCATGACTTTCATTTTCAAGAGGGATCTCATATGCTTTCCTCGTTTCTTTAATATATAACATTTTGTAAAAAAATAATTTGGAATATCAAACACTATTAAATGTTTTTTAGGAATAAACTATAAAGTTTTACCATTTTCATATTTTATATATTTATAGTCACATATTAATTATAACGTTTTTCTACTGTGGGAGATTATTTGTGCAGATGACAACATCATTCACATAAATCATACGTGTTTTCAATAGTTGATTCCCCCTAATATTTTTCTTTTTTCTTGCTTTTTCTCTCTCGCTGTAGTGACAGGAGAGTACCAAGGAAAAGCAATAGAGGCTGATATTATTCTTGTTAGATATTTCAATAATAATATAATAATAAATTGTTGTACAATTTTTAAATCAGTAATCCAATAAGAAGTTGCCTATTTCATATTGTTGTTTTGAGTTGCATTGATGTCTATGGGTTGTTTGCATTTTGCTTCATTTTTCTTTAGGTTTCAAAAGAGTAAATTATCTACCTTCTTTCTTTAAAATATCTACTATTAAATAATAATAAATATAATTAAAATGTCAAAGTATAAAATGTGACTTATGATTGAAAGGCATATGGAAGATATTCTTTCATATAAATACACTTTATATATGAAGTATATACATATATACTTTATTATTCATCTTCCATTTATTTAAGGAAAAGTTATTTGAGTTAAAATTATTTAAAACTTCACATTTGTTAAGAAATGCTATGAATAGGGAGATTTGCCAAAGTATTATTGTTATAATTATTACTGCTTCTATTTGTTGAGTCACATCAAACTGTATTCATGACTTACTTCTGACTTGGTACTCAGAAATCACTTCTGGCAGTGTTCCAAGATGCTATATGGTGCCAGGGATCAGATCTGAGACTCATGCCTAGCCTATTTAATTATCTCTCTCTCTGGCTCTTGATTGACTTTTACCTACTCCTATTTCTCAGGAGCCTATAATTATTGTATTAGAGTTAATGCACTACTTTTGAAATATCTTATACATTGAATATTAATTCCTTCATCAAAGTCAAGATCTCAAAGAGTGAAGTTATATAAAAGAGCAAGCTATCTAGATAGAGAAGGGAACACCAAGTAAAGAGTGTTTGGAGGATTCGCTCAGGATGAGAGATGTATGCTGAAAGTAAACTACAGACCAAACATGATGGCCATTCAATACAACTATTGCAAACCACAGCACCCTAAAGGAAAGAGAGAGCAAAAGGGAATAAAAGGGAATGCCCTGCCAAAGAGGCAGGGTGGGGTGGGGGTAGATGGAGTGTTGTCTGTGTGTGTTGGGGGGGGTGGTTACTGGGATCATTGGTGGTGGAGAATGGGCACTGGTGGAGAGATGGGTACTCTGAAATATAACTGTATAACTGAAACCCACGCACGAAAGTTTGTATATCTACAATTATACCTCATGTTGTTTTCACTAATAAAGAGCAAACTATCTTTTTCAGTATTTCTTTCTGTTTAAAATGTGTAAGTCCAATTCAATTATATATATACATATATATATATAAATCACAACAGAACTTGTACTAAAAAGCATGTGACTTCATAAAATATAAAACACAAATAACTGGCTCTAGGCATGCTTTATCATTATTGCCTTCTTTTTTCCTAGAATATACAAAAATTGTGAGCAAAAATTAATAATATACTTACACTTTAAACCTGTTTGGGAAAGCAATAAATAAGAAAAAAAGAGAAAGTCACATTAGAAATATTGCATGCATACTATGTTTAAATGTGATTTATTCTAAATTATGAATAATTCATTGGTTAATCTCACAATTATACAGACTTAATGACATAAAAGAAACACTACTTTAATTCAAAAAAATTAAAGTTGTGTGCACTTTATTATTACTGTCACAGTCATATGAGCTGTTAAAAAATTCATTATAGGAAAACAAAGGAATGGACAAAATGGAATAAGAAAAAAATAGATTAAAACATTGACATGTGAAATTCAACTTTGAAAAAGAAATGGAGAATTAAAGATGATTCGATCTTTATAATTGGTTTCTTCGTTTACTGAGCTTGGAAAATATTAAAGTAATAGAATCAGGCAACCAGTCCTGATTAGGCTCTTTTCCAGGCTTTTAAGTTGAAGGTATAGATGGAAAACGCTACTCTGGGTAATGAGTTCACAACACTTTTCCCCCTCTATTTCTTAGTTTTCCATACATGTCTATCAAATTTTAAAGACACACCTTAAAATGAAAGAATAACCATTAATTTAAATCGTATTTACAAGTGGAATATGAAAATATAAGGGTTGGTTTTTAAAATATTAAAAATTTTCTTTTAAATATGAGCAGTATAAATCTCATTTTTGTGTTAATATTAAATATAGAATGCAGGGAACAAATTATGTTTTAACTAAAATTCAGTTAAAATATATAATTCGATGCTTAATGTTAAGTATCTTCATTGCTTTTCCTAAACTTCAGACCATAGAGTATGACTGCATGATACATAAATTTTCATCATTACATTTTGTGCTCAACATTCTTTTTTACTGACTTTACTGTTATCATGCATAATAAAGCTTTGAGGGAAGAAAAAGTTGAAAGGAAACTGGTAGTTAATACAAAAAATCTAATAGGTGTTTCATGTAATAAATTTATTTACAGAAATTATATTTGGCATATTTACTAACTTCTTAATGAGAAAAATTATACCAACATAAATGTTATATTTGGCACTTAATATTAGTCTGTGGTAGAAATACTTTTAATTTTCAGATTTAAATTTTATCTTAGTTTTTTATATCAAGAAATTCATATCATTTAGGGTTTCTGTTATAAATTTCTATTTAATGGCAACCTGGATACCTCACTTCTTAACCTACTCCTAGATTTTTCTCTTTACCTATCATTGTCAATAAGACCATGTTCAAAATATGTAGTCCTTTATTATAAAATTTTCCCGTACCTAACATTAATAAGGGCTGGAGTGATAGCACAGCGGGTAGGGTGTTCGCCTTACACGCAGCCAACATGGCCGACCCGAGTTCGATTCCTCCGCCCCTCTCGGAGAGCCCAGAAAGCTACCGAGAGTATTCGATATGCCAGACACAGTAACAACAAAGTCTCCAATGGAGACGTTACTGGGCCCGCTCGAGCAAATCGACGATCAACGGGAGGGCCTTTACCTTACCTTACCTAATATTAATAAAAAATATATACTCGCCAGTCCATAAATCACTGAAATTAGCTACAGTTTTTAACTACTATGAAGGTGATAAAAATAAAAACATATATTTTAAATTAACATATTTTTACATATAAACCAGAAATATTTAAGCAAGTACAGTCAAAAAAAAGTTGTCAGATAATGTAAGATGTACTCTACTAAAACTGAAAGAAAAGTAACTACATGGAAAATTAAATACAATGCTGTATTATTTAAAATCATTTTCCAACACTATGATTCTCTCTCTGCATGGGTTAGACTTATCAATATGAATAAAAATATTTCATAACAATGTAGTTAGACTACAGACTTTGCTTTGGAACTGGACAAAGTAGCTGTCTGCAGAAGATATTCTATTGCTTTTCCCCAAAGTTCTTACCTTTTCTTCAATTCCTCTTACCTGATGAAGAATGTAAGCAAGGTTATGAGTTAACCTTTCATTCCTACTGAATGAAAACATACCAGGGCCTGTATAAGTCTATTTGGAATATGTGAAAAATAAAGTGGAAGTTTCTATTATTTCCTTTAGAGGAACATTATTTGGTTCAAGAGAAAAAAGGTAAAGGTAAAGGCCCTCCCGTTGATCGTTGATTTGCTCGAGCGGGCCCAGTAACGTCTCCATTGGAGACTGTTGCTACTGTGTCTGGCATATCGAATACTCTCGGTAGCTTGCCGGGCTCTCCGAGAGGGGCGGAGGAATCGAACTCGGGTCAGCCATGTTGGCCGCTTGTAAGGCGAACGCCCTACTGCTGTGCTATCGCTCCAGCCCTAGAGAAATAAGTACATCCATAATGATACTCTGAAACTACAACAGTATGTTATTAGGGATGAGTTTTGATAGCAACATCTTGAGGAACTATCCATATACATCACCTACAAATACTTACTGTCTGTAGCTGACCAAAACCACCAAGATGGCAGGAATACAGCAGAGGATGATGATGAATGCCAGAGCTAGCAATGCCCCTTCTGTGTAGCCTAGACTTTCTCCTCGTTTTTTAATGCTGGTCACTGCCTCTGGAGTCCGGATCTCCAGAATGCGTCCACCTTCCCCATAATACGGCTGAAAGTCTTTATTGATATCGAGCAGTTTGCCATCCAAAAATCTTTATTATTAGATAAATAGTAAAATCAATAAATATCAGAGTAAAACTTTTTAAAACAATATCTTGATATTTTCTTTAAGTAAATAACAAACTCAGAATGAAGTCTTATGAGAAAGGCATAAATAATAAGGGAAAGCAAGTAAAAAGAGTAGTTATACATATATAGATATGTATCAAATGCATTAATTACAATGAACCTTTCTTAATATGACTAAAGTAATTATCAGTATTATTGTCCCTAATATCCATATGTTAATGTTACTTTATTCAGTAGTTATCTAGAATATATGCCATTCTAAATGATAAAGCATAACTTAAAATTATATTCCTGTTTTATATCCTCGTACCTTCAGAATAAGAGTGTGTCAGACTGAAGTAAAGGCTGACCCTCAGAGCAGTGGCATGAGCAGAGATATCAGAGACAGACCAATAGGTGTAGAGAGAGATAACCTTTGACAAAGGATCTAGGCATATGAAATAGGGCAAGGAAAATCTCTTCAACAGACAATGTGGGAAAACTGGTCATCCACAAGGGGAAAAATAACTAGGATCTTAATTCACACTGTAAGAAAAATGGATTAAAATCCTCAGTATTAGACCATAGTCCACAAATCTTATAGGTAGATCTCTTTGTGATGTTGACTCTAGAAGAATCTTCAATGAATAAATTCCACTAGCAAAGCAAACGGGCACCAAAAAAAAAAAAAAAAAAGCTTCTGCACTACAAAAAAAAAAGTCGACTGGAATAAAAATAAATTCCCTAAAAACAGAGAAAGCATTTGTTCACCGTCCACCTTGCAAAGGACTGGTATCCAAATTGTATAAAGTAGTTGAAAAACTTAACAATAACAACAAAACCACCACATCAAAATACGGGCAGAAAAATGTGAATAGGCATTTCCTCAAAGAAGACATACAGATAGCAAACAGGAATACAAAAAGTGTTAATTGCTTATAACTGGGGGCATGCAAATTTAAAAAAAAATCCTATATCACCTCATGCCAGTGAGATAGGCCCACATCAAAAATATTTGAAACAAGCAGCACTGGCAAGGATATGGGGGAAAAGTTTGCTCATTCACTACTGGCAGGACAGCCATATGGACCAGTCTCTATAGAAAAAAGCATGGACATAACTCAAAAACTAATGAATGAGCTTCATCTGACCCAGAAATTTTACATCTATTCAAAAAAACCAAAAATGAGACCTCAAAAATGTGTTTGCACAACTGTTCATTGCAGTACTGTTCACAATAGCAAGAATTTGGAAACACTTAAATAACCCAGCCCAATAACAAAGAAACAAAGAAAATGCAATAGTCATACACAATTGAATGTTACTCAGCAATTAAAACTGATAATGAATGGCCATTGGTAACAGATTCTGAGAGCTTGCCAGAACCTCCAAGAGTCTGACCCCTAAGCACAAAGATAGGAATAGGATCCAGGTACAAACCTCTAAACAGAAAAAGACTATTCAAAACATTGTAGTATTAATTCTACTGTCCTTTGGTACTTTATCACAAATCACATATATAAGGCATATCTAATTTTTGTACCTTTAAAATTAAACATTTTTCTGTTTTAATGATTTTTAAACAATAATTATTTTTCAAGGGTTTAATAAACTCTTTAAAATTTTTGTCAATAATGTAATAAAACATTTCATTATATTTTTAGCTGTTTTGATGATAGTAACTGCAGTTTTTAATCTCACTTATCTAGAATTATTGGGTTATGTATTATTGTTTCTTAAGCACATTTTTTATTAATACTCAGTTTCTTTTTTTCTTAAGATGCAATGATATTCCTATATATATACTTCATGTTACAAATTAATTTTCGAATGTCCTCTCACTTCAGCAAAGTTGGAAAAGTATGATCAATGTATTTTACATTTTCTTCTTGAGGGAGAAAAATTGATCTCATTAATCTTTTGTTAAACAGTTAGATTCATCTATCTATCAATAGGAACTTTGCTGTCTCTAACATCCGTGCCAATCCCCGAAGATAGAATCTTATTGGCCATTGCTGAAGTGTGTCCTAATTCATACTGAGTTAATGGGAGCAGAAGAAAGACATATTCCTATTGGCAAGAGGGGAAACACTTCATCTAAGTCTTACATGGAGTTTCTTTACCCAGAAGCATGAGAAGAATTCAAAGAATGGAGAACATATACAGTATTACACTATCTCATATAATTTTGCTTTCTGCTATGGAGTTCTGAAAAAACTTAATTTCCTCCAAAAGAATATCTGTAAAGATATATTCTACCATGGGTTGTCGAGATTCCTAGTATGTATTATGATCATCTTTTCTTTTGTTATTTCCCCTAGAAATAGAACAAAGTTTTTGGATTCAACATCAATTTCTTCATCAGTAAAGAAGTATGACTTTTCCTTTAGTTTCATTTTCTCTTGACATTGTTGTTAAATTCTTTTTCATAAGGGTCAGGTGAATAGGTCCCTTCCTACTATCCTGCCAGCATTAATTGACTTCTGTTCATCACTGATATGATAAAATATTAAACCAATTCTCTACACTGTAATTTACTCAATTGATGTGTCACATGTCAGCATTTATTTCTGCTACCCGGGTTTGATTCCTCCACCCATCTCAGAGAGCCCGGCAAGCTACTGAGAGTATCTCACCCGCATGGCAAAGCTCGTCAGCACAGCAAAGCCTGGCAAGCTCCCTGTGACATATTCGATATGCCAAACACAGTAACAACAAGTCATCACGATGGAGATGTTACTGGGTTCGCTCGAGCAAATTGATGAACTAATGGGAGGACTGTGACCATGACCATGACCATTTACTAGTATGAAACACAATTCAAAGTATGATGTGTATCAATCAATCTACAATGCATTTTATTATGATCATTTTAGTGTTACAGTGTCAGTATATAGAAAATTCTAGGGAATAATGAGGAGTAGAATATATTCTATACATCATAAGCACTCACTCATACCTGAAGAGCAGTTCAATTCTCAATTTCCCTAGTTTGAACACATACTGGGGTTCTGAATCAGGTTTACAGAGTAAACAATGGTGAACATGTATGTCCATATCTATTATTCTTATGTAAGGTATTTGCTTAATAAAGCATACTAGAAAAGGTCTCTGTCATCTATTCAGCTCTATCATCTAATTATGTTTTAGTAATTTTTACATTTATCTTATATCCTTAATATTCCATTTTTCTGCAATTAGGAATTTGAAGGGATCTTGATTAAATGTTAGTATCCATCTTTCATTTTATAACAGTAATCTTTTAAACACAATTTTTTAAAAAATAACTTTGTAGCATATTAAGATTTACTCTACTGTCTACTGTCTACAGCTTCCTGTTACCATGTGGAGAGACTAATATTTATCAAATTGGGCTTATAGAAAAAAGGTCCTTAAGATATAATTATACTTGTCTATTTTTCTAATTTAATTAATTTTATTTAAATTAGTATTTATTTTGAGTTCCACCCTTACGGGAAAAATATGGTAGAACAGAATAATTTAAAATTTCAAGCACGGAGCCTGTGAGATTGTACAATGGATAAGGTGCTTGTCTTGTAGACATGCTCTCCTCCCCCAATCACACCAGGAGTGATCCCTGAAAGCAGTGGCAGGGATTCACTGACTGAATGCAGCTAGTGTGACCCTCAAATAAACATGATTGTAAGCGTGGCATCAAATTACAGAATGTGATGATTTTCTTCACAGAGAGTTGAAAATACAGTATCATGGCTGGAAAATGTAGAAGCGATCAAAACATTTAAAATTCAATCGAATTTTTAATGTTAAGTATATGTTACATGTGAGTTTGACATAAGAGAACCATAAACACAACAGGGGTTGTACTCACAAATCTTTTTTTGGATTCTTTCAAAATAGAATGAGGACAAAAATAAGAGACAAAGAGCCATTCCCTTCAGAGTACAGGGGTAGAGGATTAAATCAACAAAGTTTGGTGCACTTAATATTTCTCTGTCCTTCTACCATATAAAATAAAGGCATTAAGTCCTAGAGAGAGAGAAGGAAATACTCTTATCCCTTGGGCTATGACTAAGGTCTGTAAGAGGAAAGGGATTAGCAGAACAATTAAACTTGGGTGCAAGGCCCTTCACAGCACAGCACTACTGGTATGGGAGGTACACTCAACAACACAAACAAAAGTAAGATACTATTGTTATGCAAAAGAAGAGTTGAAAAAACCTCAAATATAAGAAAAAAATTAAAATCAATGATCATATCCATAGATGGCAGGGAAATAATCTGACATGAGCCAGCAACCATTGAGATAAAAACTCTCAGTAAAATAGGAATTGAAGGAATTTTCCTCAACATACTCAAAGCAATTTACCACAAGCCTACAGTAAATATTATACTCACTGGGGAAAAATTAAAATCCTTCAAAGACTGGGGACAAGTCAATGATATCCACTCTCATTATTTCTTTTCAATATTGTACTGGAAGTACTTACTACAATTAGCAAGAACAAGATATCAATGCATCCAGAAAGAAAAGGAAGAAATTTAGCTTTTTTATGTGAGGGTGCCATAATATTATATTGAGACAACTCAAAAACTCTGCAAAAGAGGTCCTGGAAATGATTTTTATAGTAAAGTGGCAGTAAACAAAATTAACTTGCAGAAGTTCATAATAGAAGAGACAGTCCGATTAATAGCTGTGTCTCAGAAAATCAAGTACAGAATGCTGGAGTGATAACACCACGAGTATGGTGTTTGCCTTGCACACGGCCAACCCGGGTTCAATTCTCAGCGTTCTATATAGTCTCCGAGTACTGTCAAGAGTAATTCCTGAGTGCATGAGCCAGGAGGAACCTATGTGTTATGTGTTTACTGGGTGTAACCAAAAAAGAAAAAAAAATCAAGTACAGAGAAGCTCGCTTAACTAAAGAGGCAAAAGGCCTAAACAAAGAAAAATACAAAACACTAAAGAAATGAAAGAAAACATAAGTCACAAGGAAACATATCC